GATACTGGATACTGGATACTGGATACTGGATACTGGATACTGGATACTGGATACTGCATACTGGATACTGGATAATGGATACTGGTTACTGTATACTGGATACTGGATACTGGATACTGGATACTAGATACTGGATACTGGATACTGGATACTGGATACTGGATACTAGATACTGGATACTGAAAACTGGATACTGAATACTGGATACTGAATACTGGTGGATACTGGATACTGCAAATACTGGATACTGGATACTGAGTACTGTATACCAGATACTGGATACTGGATGCTGAATACTGGATACTGGATATTGATACTGAACACTAAATACTGGATCCTGGATGCTGTATACTGGATACTGGATACTGGATACTGGATACTGGATACTGGATACTGGATACTGGATACTGGATACTGGATACTGGATACTGGAAACTGGATACTGGATACTGGATCCTGGATGCTGGATACTTGATACATGATAATGAATACAAGATACAGGATACTTGATATTGAATATGGATATGGATACTGGATATTGGATATTGGATATTGGAAACTGGATACTGGATACTGGATACTTGATACTAGATACTGGATACTGGATACTGGACACTGAATACTGGATTCCGAATATGGATACTGAATACTGAATACTGGATCCTGGATCCTGGATATTTGATACATGATAATGGATACTGGATACTGGATACTTGATACCGAATACGGATATGGATACTGGATATGAATCCTGGATACAGGATACTACATAGATTCCCTCTTGTTTCTTTGTTTCCGCTAATACAGAGTCAGGAAGTCTATAATGTATTTTTGTTTAGCATGTTTCTTGTTATATATTATGTAGAATATATAGGATATATATACATTTATATCTTATATATATATATACAGGGTGAACAAAAAAAAAGACATGGATTGGCATTTTTCAGTCCTAAATCAATCTTTTTAAATGATTCCCAAATGTGCTCCGGAGTATGGTTTTTAATTTTAGAACAGGTCGTTTAAATAAGCTTTTGTTTTCTCATTCTTTTCTTTGGTGTAAAATAAAATGCCGAATATTCGAAAATCTCTCCTTGAACAAGAAGCTAACCAATATTATTTAAGAAAAAAATAATTTCCATATTTTTGAACTTAGATTTTACTTTATGGGCTTTCTGAAATCCAATGCGTTTATAAAGACCTTAATCCAGCTAGCTCTATGAAGAGAAACCTATTAAGAGAGGTTACAACAAGTTAATTATGATAAAATAACTGAAATAATTG